TCTTGATTCCACCACCGCCGCAAATGCAGTTGGTGGGGGTGAGAGACAGGGCCTTCTCAGCAGTGGCCCCCTGCCTGTGGAACTCTCTCCCGAAGGACATCAGGCTGGCCACCTCCCTCCTGTCCTTTAGGAGAAAATTGAATACTTGGCTTTGGGACCAGGCATATATATCTCGTTTGCAGTGACATACTGTGTTTTTGTGTCAGTAAAATAATAACAAATACTATGTAACAAAATTTGAAAAAATAATCTGTTCCAGTTTTGAAAGTATTATCCCTGTTTAATTCAAAGTACGTACTTTGAAAGGAGTTGTTATACTCCAGAACCTTCATTTTTGTGGCTGCCACCAACTATGTTGCATTAGTAGAGATTTTATGAGATATTCATTGAAAAACTATAGCAAAATGTGCTGCAGGATGTCCGCAAAAACAAAGTTTTTGCAGTTTAATAAACATTTTCCATGTTTTTTAAAATGGTAGAACCAATTAGGAAATGACATTTATAACCCAGGAACAAAAATTGTGTTACATTGTGTAATATAGCCTTTCTGGGAGGTTCACAAATTACAACGTAAGTGTATTCAGAATCCACATGGACTTTCTCCTAGGTATGTTTGTAGGAGATTATGGGGTTAATTATTATCTAATGAAAGCATTTTAAAGCTTGCTACTCAAACACAAAACACATTGAGAAAAATGAATTGTACTGCCGTAAACAGTGGCTTCTGTTCCTTCTTCCTGCTTCTCCTGACCATTTTTTTTAAATGCATCTTGCTCTTTGTTTTTCATAATGGAGAGGGGAGAAATGTAGAAAGTGTAACAACTTTTCAGTTTCAGAGGAACTCAAGATCGAGAGAGTTTTAAAAAAAGGGCTGGGAGAAAGGATTTTAACAGAAAGGCAATACAGGACTCTCCCCCAGCTGAATCATTTGCAGGTCAAAGCACACTCTTGCCTGTAATGTTCCTTTGAAATCAAAAGTGAAAATAAAGGCTCTTGTGTTCACAAGAAGGAAAGAAAAGCAGCTTTGAGTTTTTGCTGCCATGGAGCTCAGCTACGAATGGACCTGTCCCATCTGCCTGGAAACCTTCAAAAATCCTGTGACCATCGATTGTGGGCACAACTTTTGCCAGGCCTGCCTCAGCCAATACTGGGGGGCATCCAACAGGTGTGGTTCTTGCCCGCAATGCCAGCAGATGGTGCCACAGAGGAACTTCCAGCCCAATCGGCTGCTGGTCAACATGATAAAAAGAGTCCAGAAACTGGAAGAGGAGAAAAGGACCCAGTGGAAGAAGATGGGCACATGTGCCAAGCACTGGCTGCCCCTGGACCGCTTCTGCAAGGAGGATGAGACAACCCTTTGCTCTGTATGTGAACGGTCCAAGGAGCATCTGGATCATGTTGTGGTCTCCTGGGAAGATGTTATCCCAGAGTACAAGGTAGGAGAACACCCTGCACTATAGGGATGCAGGGCAGCATTTACTCTCAAAAGGGTACATCCACATTGCTTGGAAACTGTCACAGGCCTATCTAAGATTTGTCGTTCCCTGGAGTACTTGGACTTCTGTAGCAGAGAGATCTACGGATATAGTCCAAGGATGCATTTACACTGCAGAATGAATGCACTATAACTGCCCTGGCTAAATGCTATGGAATTCTGGGAGTTGTAGCCTTTCCTGCTAAATGGTTTTATAGAAGAGGGGATTTTAGTAAGTGCTAATATGCATAACTTATTTACTTAGGTGATCCTTCATAGCTCAAAGATGATCCTCAAAGTGTAGTGTCTTGATGGTAGGTCCGTAGGTGGCTGTGGAGCCCTACTTTTGATCCACATGTTCTTCTGCTGTGAGGACATTGGTTTCAAGGTGGAAGGTGGTCCCAGTCAGGGTTGGCATGGCACGTGTTCCCTTTTCCTTCTCTCCCTTTCCTCTCTCCATTCATGCCTCTTCAAATGCTGCAGCACTGTTGGTCACAGCTGACCTCTAGTTAGAGCACTCAAGGGCCAGGGCTTCGCAGTTCTCAGTGTCTATGCCACAATTTTTAAGGTTGGCTTTAAGCTCAGCTTTAAATCTCTTTTCCTGTCCACCAACATTCTGTTTTCTATTCTTGCGTCCAGAGTATAGTAACTGCTTTGGTAGATGGTGATCGGGCATTCGGACAACTTGGCCGAGTTCATGGCCAAGTTCATGGCAGCGGAGTTCATGGCATAGGAGCATGGCTTCAGTGCTGGCGGTCTTTGCTTCTTTCATCACACTGACATTTGACCCCCTGTCTTCCCAAGAGATTTGCAGGAATTTTCAGAGGCAATGCTGATGGAATTGTTCCAGGAGTTGAGTGTGACGTCTTTAAATAGTCCACATTTTGCAGGCATATAGCAGGGTTGGGAGGGCAATAGCTTTATAAATAAACACTTTGGTCTCCCTACGGATGTTCTGGTCCTCAAACATTATTTGGAAAAATGCTGCACTCGCAGAGCTCAGGTGGTGTTGTGTTGTACTTCAGTGTCAATGTTGACTTTTGTGGAGAGGTGGCTGCCAAGGTAGTGGAAATGGTCATTTTCTAATGTTACACCATTAAGCTGTATTTCTGGCATTGCAGAGGGATTGGCTGGTGACTGCTGGAAGAGCACTTTGGTTTTCTTGATGTTCAATGAGAGGCTGAGCTTCTTGTATGCTTCTCCAAAGGTGTTTATGTTATGAACCCAAAGAGGTTCCTGTTCTTTTTGCAGTGTTCAAGGATAGTAAGGCGGTTTAGACCAATGAGACAATTTAGAGACCAAATTTGGCTTTGACACTATTGATGTAACATTTATTGAAATACAATCATCACAGAATCATATCAGAATCACATCAAGGAGAGCTCTCATGCACACACACATTCACGCATACTCACGCACACACAGGCCTCCTCCGGCGAAGATGATCAGTCTTTTCCAAGGAGGTGCGGACGCTCCATTGCCATGGATCAGGAAGCGTGCGTCTTCTTGGTGTCCCCTGCATTTATAGGCAAAAAACCATTTTTCTTCTTTTTAATAATCAGGTTGTTCTGTCCTTTTCAAGTCCTTTCAACTTCTTGTTCTTTCCAAAGTTCAGGACATTTGCATTCCAGGCCTCATGACTTATGGGGTACACCTGCACACTCCTTATCCTCCTTACAGGCTTGGCCGCATACCTTATTGTTCATTGTCACTCAGTTATGCCTTGCTGCCTCCTCGCTTCGACTGCCAAGGCCCTCCCATATCATTCCTTGCGAGAACTCCATGTTGGTTTTTCTTCAGGCCTGTTTCTTCTCTTCTACATGCATTCAAAACATTCATTCTTTACATTTAGAGTGGCTTGTGGGTCTTTTTCTGAATGTGCACAGACTATGCTGTCATCAGCATGTTGCAGTTCTAGAACAGATGTTGTTGTGACCTTAGTTTTGGCTTTCAGTCTGCTGAGGTTAAATAGCTTGCCATCTGTCCAATAGATGATTTCTACTTTGGTGGGAAGCTTTCCATCGACATGATGAAGTGTCATAGTGATGAAGATGGAAAATAAAGTTTGGGCAATAACACATCCCTGTTTGACACCTGATTCCACCTTAAATGGGTCACCTTGGGAACAGACAAACAACACTAGCTAAAGTTATCTCTTTTATACAGTTCTCAGTGCAGAAACCCGGTCTTGTATTTTATTTGACAACACAGTCTACCTCCTTCTTGGACTACAAGCTGCCAGTCTCAGAAGATGCCAAGACATTGTTGATGGAAGACGTTCCTCAAGACAGTGTTCTAAGGAGGCCACTTTAGTTTAAATATATTGTAATATTTGTATGATGTTAGCCTTTAACTATGTCCTGTTTTAACTTCTGTGATCTGCCTCGAATCCCAGGGCAGTAGGAGAGGAAGAGGGGAAGGAGAACAATAGCATTGGTGGTGTGGATGATTCTGATGCTGATAATAACAGTTGGTATCAGGGGATCACTTCCTGCCTCAGCAACATCTTTTTCCGTTTCTACAGGATCAAATTGAGGCCAATATGAAATCTCTGCAGAAAAGGAGAATGAGTGTTATGAAGCAGATGACCATTGAGGACCATGGGAGGAAAGAATGTTTAGTAGGTGTTTCTTGTTGTTATGACTTGTACAATACTAGATTCCAGTTGACACAAGCCCCATCTACACAGCCATATAATCCAGTTTCTGAATCGAGATTATCTGCTTTGAACTGGATTATATGGCAGCGTAGACTCATATAATCCAGTTCAAAGCAGATAATCTTGATTCAGAAACGGATTATATGGCAGTTTAGATCCAGTCTTAGGCCCAGACTACACTGCCAAATAATCCAGTTTCTGAATTCAGATTTTTTGCTTTGAACTGGGTTATATGGCAGTGTGGACTCATATAATCCAGTTCAAAGCAGATAACCTAGATTCAGAAACTGGATTATATGGCAGAGTAAATTTACCCTGAGGCTGGATTACACTGCCATATAATCAATTTCTGAATCCAGATTATATGATTTGTACTGAATTATATGGCAGTGTAGACCCATATAATTAAATTCAAAGTAGATAATCTGGATTCGGACACTGGATTATATGGATAAATTTACACTGGCTGGTATCGACAGGGTCCAGATAGGTTGAGATTGCATTGGACCCACTGGACTATCACCTCACCTTCCATGTCACCATGGAGCCTGTACCTTATCAGCCACAGAGCTCCATGAAAGCTCTTGGCCACCATGGACGTCCCATTCGGGCCGATATCTAGACTGTTCTGCTTTCCACACTCATCACCATTGCCCTCACACTTTCTTTGCTCTCATAGATGCAGGGGACTTGAGAGTTGCTGCTAGTCATGCATGGAGTGAATCCATCCCTCCTCTGGTTTTAATTGGTTGTGCAGGTGCCTCTGCTGATGGTATTTGGAAAGAGCTTGACATATGGCAAGTCCATTTTGGTCACAGACTAGTAGCTCATTCCCCTTGATTTTCTTCTTTATCTAATACTGCTTACTCTCCAATTTCACTTTTTATTTCTCTGTGGATTTTCCCCTTAGAATCAAATAGAACTTGAGAATCAGAAGATCAGTTCTGCTTTTGACCAAATGAACAACTTCCTTAAAGAAAAAAAGGGTTTCTGGCTAGGTCAGCTGCAAGACCTTGAGAGCAGCATCAAGGAAAAGTACGAAAGAAATATCTCAACCCTTTCAAAAGAGTTGCTGTCTCTCAGCAACCTCATCGCAGTGATGAATGAGAAGTTTCAGCAACCAGCAGATGAATTCCTGCAGGTAAGTCAAAGCATAAAGGGTTTGGTTTGGTGGACAGGCAGTGATGCACAGCTCATAATGGACATCACATCACCCCATCCTTCCCCCCAATAGCTTGTTCCATCACACAGAAAAGCCTGCAAAAATGAATTCTGTGGTAAGAAGAGGAGCTAGGCAGGCCTGCTTCCATCTCTGCCAAGACCAGTTTGCCATGGGAGAACCCATTTTAGGAGGCCCGCATGATAATGTCCTAGGTAGCTTTTCATGGCCCAAACCTCATTCTGCTTGACCAGGCATCAGCTGCTCTGAGCAACAGAGGTCTGTTCTCCTATCAGTCCAAATCACAGCAGACTGTTTCCATCTGCCTCCCATTACTGATCTTTGGTGTGACAACCAGAAGCAAGATCCCTGTTGTAATTCTTCCTTGCACCAGAGATTAGTGGCAGGAGATGGGGTGCAAACATCAATCTGATGTCTCTCAACTGGTAGGAGAACTTCTGTCAATCACAGCATGACGATTGTGTCAAAATTGGCAATACATAGCCTTTACAAATAAAAATTAATGACAGATCCATAGTTCTGGGTTAAGAATCCATAACTGCAATACTGAATCCCAGTCATTATTGGTAGGACTGTGACTTATTGATGCCTAATAGCAGATTCAGAGAAAACTCTTTGGGAAATGGAAGGAGAGTTTCTCCCCTGATTGCCAGATTGCTCTCCTCATCTGCAAAAACAAAACTGGACTCTTTAACTGCCATGACTCAGTGGAATGGAATCCTTGAAGCTGTGGTTTTATAAGGCCTTCTCCGTTAACGAGTGCAGAATCAGATACCTCACTACAGCTCCCTTGATCACAAAGCCATGCTGTTTAAAGTGGCCCAGCTTACTTGTCCAAACATATCTCCCTCTACGATCCAACTTGGAGTCTAAGATCATCTGGGGAGGCCGTGCTCTCAGTCCTGCCCTCTTTGCAAACATGACTGGCGGGGACGAGAGATGGGGCCTTCTCAGTGGTGGCCCCCCATCTGTGGAACACACTCCCCAGGGAAATCAGATCGGCCCTATCCCTCCTTTCCTTCAGGAAAAAGCTCAAAACATGTGTTTGGGACCAGGCATTTGGGCAGCAGGCTTAACAGCAGTAGCAATATTATATTTGAATTGATAATGCTCAGGCTTTGGACTGGGTCTCTCAACTGAACTTGGATGCAATAATATTGTTATTCTTATTAATCATGTTTTAAATGACTATTTTATAATTTAACTAGCCGTCCCCTGCCACGCGTTGCTGTGGCCCAGTCTGGTGAACTGGGGGGGAAAAGTAATTAGAAAGTGTTGGTTTCTAATATATGTAATTTCTTTTTGCTTGTGGGTAAACAGTATTTCTTGCTGTTTCTTTGTCAGTGTTGATGTGGAGAGTGTCTAGTTTGCCTACTCTGGAACATGCAACATGTAATTATCCTTCTTTAGGGGTCCCTTTCAAATCTATGATACTATATCCTGTGTGTGTGTCTATCTATATCTGTGGCTGGATGGCTCTTTGTCAGGAGGGCTCTGATTACGTTTTCTTGCCCTGGTGAAGGGAGTTGGACTGGATGGCCAATTCATCCCAAATCCCTCCAGTATTTTCTGTTGGTCATGTGGGTTCTGTGTGGGAAGTTTGCCCCAATTCTCTCGTTCGTGGGGTTCATAATGCTCTTTGATTGTAGGTGAACTATAAATCCCAGTAACTACAACTCCCAAATGTCAAGGTCTATTTTTCCCCAAACTCCATCTGTGTTCATATTTGGGCATATTGAGTATTCGTGCCAAGTTTGGTCCAGATCCATCATTGTTTTAGTCCACAGTGTTCTCTGGATGTAGGTGAACTACAACTCCCAAACTCAAGGTCAATGCCCACCAAACCCTTCCAGGTTTTTCTGTTGGTCATGGGAGTTCTGTGTGCCAAGTTTGGTTCAATTCCATCATTGGTGGAGTTCAGAATGCTCTTTGATTGTAGGTGAACTATAAATCCCAGCAACTACAACTCCCAAATGACAAAATCATAATTTTTTGAGTGATGGTCACTCCTTGTGTTGTGAGACGTTTTATTGCCAAATTTGGTGTGATTTTGTTCATTGGTTCTTTTGTTTTTAAGGTACTCATTATGCACAGAGCATTTTTATATATATAGATGTTTTAATTAATGTTGAATCTGTGTCATATTGATATGGTGTGTGTGTTGGCATCGAATTGCTGCCGATTGTAAGCCGCCCTGAGTCCCCCCTCAGGGGTTGAGAAGTACGGGGTACAAATAAATAGATAAATAAATAAACCTGAATGAACTCTAGTGTGGATACAGCCTGGCGCACTAGTAGATAAGGCTAAAGACCTTATAGAACTCCAACCCCAGGATTCCGTAGTTTATTTATTTATTGTGTCAGAAGTGAGTTGAGGGTATTTAAAAGCAAAAACAAAGTTGTGTTTTTTTTTTTTTCAAAAAAGAACTTGGCATTATGCTAAATGTCCTTAGGCCAGAAGCTGGCTACTTGGTGTAACTGTGAGAAGGTCCTCCACTGTGCATGTGGCAGGGCTCAGACTGCATTGTAGTAGGTGGTCTGTGGTTTACTCTTCTCCACAATTGCATGTCACGGACTCCACTTTGTAGCCCCATTTCTTAAGGTTAGAAAAAAGGATTCCATAGTGTCGGACCATGACAGTTTCAGTGGTGCTAGATGCACCCAAACTCATGAAACAGTCTAAGTTTTGCCATTTCAAACAAATGAACACAGAATAGCTAGAAAAGTTAGTTTGGAAGCAACCACAGAGAAGGAAGAAGAAAGCCAACAGTATCTCCACTTTAAAAAAAAATCTATGTTTTCTGTCTGCATAGCGGTTAAAACGTGCTTGTTGTGTTTCTTTCAGGACATCAAAAGCACTTTGAAAAGGTAAGCAGTTCAACTTCACTCAGTTTGGAGTGTACTCTTGGACTCAACATTAACCTGGAGATCCAGGTTTTACTCTTAGAGACTGCCTGATTGTTCCACCCCTCGGCTCTGCTTCGCGTTAGCAAGCTGGACCTGGCTTCTGCTTTACACCAACCCTTATACACCAACCCTGCAGGGTAGGCCAATCCGTTACAGTGTGCAGCATTCAGACCTCACTTTGCCTGCTTCCATTTAAATTGTGAGTTACTTCTTTGGGAGAAGAATTCCAGTCTTTTAGTACCTTTTGTGAACTTCACCATTTCTGCTTCCAGGTTTGAGAAGAGGGAACGTGATTATACACCATACCTACTTCCTGGATTGGAAGGAAGACTCCAAACTTTCTCACAAAAAGTAGCTGCTGTAGAAATGACTATGAGAGTATATACAGGTATTTTTGTGTTGTGATGGTGGTGTACTTCCAACTTATGGCATCCTTGGAGTTTTCTCATGGAGTTTTCTCCTCACTATTTTTCCCTCGAGAGAGTTTTGCCCTTGCCTTTCTCCAAGGATGTGAGTGTGATTTCCCTAAGGTCAACCAGTGGGTTTTTATGGAGAAATAAGTCCTTCTCAAAACCACTACACCATGCTGGATCACAAAGTATTTATCATAGAATCATAGAGTTGGAAAAGACCTCGTGGGCCATCCAGTCCAATGCCCTGCGAAGAAGCAGGAAAATCACATTCAAAGCTCCCCCAACAGATGGCCATCCAGCCTCTGCTTAAAAGCCTCCAAAGAGGGGTCTCCACCATAGAGAGTTCCACTGCTGAAAAGCTCTCACAGACAGGAAGTTCTTCCTCGTGGAATCTCCTTTCCTGTAGTTTGAAGCCATTGTCCTAGTCTCCAGGGCAGCATAAAACAAGCTTGCTTCCTCCTCCCTATGACTTTACCACACATCTTTATACATGGCCCTCATCATGTCTCCTCACAGCCTTATCTTCTTCAGGCTAAACATGCCCAGTTCTTTAAGCCGCTCCTCATAGGGCTTGTTCTCCAGACCCTTGATCATTAGAGTCATCCTTTTCTGGACACATTCCAGCTTGTCAACATCTCCCTGGAGAAGTCCCCTTTATGCCAACATTTATATTTGTATATAAAGGTTGGCATAAAGGGGACTTCTCCAGGTAGAGAATGGATGTCACCAGTCACTAGCTAAAGTGAGCCATTTGCCTTTAGTAGCAGATTTTTGTTGAAAAAGAAAGGGCAGAATATGTTGTTACAGGGAAAGTTGCTAATGGAATTTTCTGCCTGAAGTGCCAAGAATAATTTGGCTGACTTTAGAGTCCTGAGCCCTTTGGTATGTGTGTGAGGATGGGGAGGTACGCCATTTGATGACCATTTCCTTGTTTGCAGGGCTTCTTAATTTTTTAACTTGCAACCCTTTTTTTGCCCAAGAAATTTTTATGTGAAGCTGGGTATATAGGTATATAAAACAGGTATATATTTTGCCAAAGGCAAAAGATACTTTAATCCAAAAGAAATAGACACAAGTGGTGATAACACTAGAAAGAAATGTTCAATGCATTGTCGAAGTCATTCATGGCCAGAATCACTGGGTTGTTGTAGGTTTTTCGGGCTATATGGCCATGTTCTAGACCAGGGGTCCTCAAACTAAGGCTCGAGGGCCAGACACCGCCCTCCAAGGTCATTTACCCGGCCCTTGCTCAGGGTCAACCTAAGTCAGAAATGACTTGAAAGCACACAACAACAACAACAATCCTATCTCATCAGCCAAAAGCAGGCCCACACTTCCCATTGAAATACTAATAAGTTTATATTTGTTAAAATTGTTCTTCATTTTAATTATTGTATTGTTTAGGTGTTTCTTGCACTACAAATAAGATATGTGTAGTGTGCATAGGAATTCATTCATGCTTTTTTCAAATTATAATCCGGCCCTCTAACAGTTTGAGGACTCCTGTTCTAGAACATGGCCATATACCCCCCAAAAGCTACTACAACCCAGCTAGAAAGAAAATTTGCAAAAGCAGGCATAATAGTTAAAGCATGAAAAAAAAGTCTAACCAAACAAGCTCTCCCCCTTCTGTTGCTGGGAACTCGTTGAATCAGCAATGAGGATGACTCAGGTGTTGGCAAGTTAAGCAGCTCTGTATCTCAGACTGCACTGAAGTTTGACATTGGCTGATGACCCTTACAGACTCTATATCCCAGTATCTGATCCAAAGTGTCCTGCCTTAAACGGGATTATGAGAGTCCACACTGCCAGATAATCTGGGATAAACAGAAAACCTGGGATCAGATCCTGGGATATAGGGCCCGTCCAGAGTAGCCCTGGGATGTATGGTTTTGTTATATCTTTTATGCTGCTCAGAATAATGTTTTAATCAACCACACATGTTTTGACCAGTGTTTTGACATGTCTAATATCTCCCCATAACTTTCTAAGATAACAGAAGGGGAATGAAGGTCAGCCACCTGGACCAAGGCTTCCCTCATTACGCCTTTCCAATTAGCTCTTAACAATGCAAGAATGCAGATTTTCTCTTAAAGGTGAACTTCACCCTTTTAAGACTTTTAGGAGGTTTGGAAATAAAAAAAATAGGCAACCATGTACACCACCTGGCTTGCCTCCTCTAGATGACAATATTCTTCTGCAATATATTCTTCTACAATAGGCATGGGCAAACTTGGGCCCTCCAGGTGTTTTGGACTTCAACTCCCACCATTCCTAACAGCCTCAGGCCCCTTCCTTTTTCCCATCAACCACTTAAAATCCATAAGCATGTGGATAATTTCAACAGAAAGGGTAAAACCATGAAAATGAACAAAATCTGGCTACCAGTATTAAAAAAACCTCTAAAATCATAATAGCAAAACAACACTCAAACACCGTTAAACTCCTGAGAAGACAGCTAATCACCTCTAAACAAAAGATTCCCCCAGGCACTAACAAGCCACACCAAAAAACTGCCAGGCCATCAAATGTTAATCAAGATGGCCTATTGAAACATTCACACCTAGCTCCAACAGACAAGAGTTCTTTCTCCCACCCGGGACATTCCACAGATATATAAACCCAAATTTCCTAGTTCCAACAGACCTCACCACCTCTGAGGATGCTTGCCATAGATGCAGGTGAAATGTCAGGAGAGAATGCTTCTAGAACATGGCCATATAGCCTGAAAAACCTGCAACAACCCAGTGATTCCAGCCATGAAAGCCTTCGACAATACAAATGTTTACTTAAGCAGTTTGAAAACAGCTTACAACTGTGATTAGAGAAATAAGGTACCGCAAATGTGGGGGAGGTATTTTACCACACCATAAAAGAAAAAGATCAAAGAATTTCAATGACCAAAAGGAAGGAGGAAGTCCTGATGGCTCTTCGTCATAGAGGATGGAGTGACAGTACCTCCCTGTGGCTGGCAACTTCCCAAGGCGCCAACAAGCTGGATGTTCAACACAACACAATGAATACCTCCTTTCTGTTCTGACTGTCTTTGTCCTGTCCAAAAAACGGCATTGAATGTTTGCCGTGTATGTGTACTGTGATCTGCCCTGAGTCCCCTTTGAGGTGAGAAGGGCGGAATATAAATATAGTATTGTTGTTGTTGTTATTATTATTATTAATATTATTATTTGAAACAACAAGATGAGTCCACAGCAGACACTCTGCTGGCTGTTGTATTGGATCACACATCAGACACTTCCCAAGCATCTAGGACTGTGTAATGTATTGGTGATCCCAGTAAGGTGGCCTTTTGCAGCTGCAGATGGTATTATTATTATTATTATTATTATTAATGAAATTGCAACACCAAAAGGCCAAACACAACTTCCTACCAGCCCTGAGTAAATCTCACAATGCAAATGGTGAATAGGGAAATCCATGGATATCCAACCTTCTATATCCATGGATTCTGTATCTATATATTCAACCATCCATGCCTTGGAAATATTTTTTTGTTTCATTCCAAAAAGAGAACCTTGATGTTGCCACTTTATATCAGTGCTGATTTTATGTATGTGTATAACATACATAGAGTTTGTGTTTAAACCTGGGTCCCATTTGGAAGAGATCACATTATGTATGTGCAAGTATTCCAAAATCCAAAAGAAAAACCTGAAATAAAAAAAAAATTCTGGTTCCAAGCATTTTGTAAAAGAGATACTCACCCTTATTAACTGATATGCTCAGCTTTATGAGGCTTTTGTACAGATTACAATGATTAAACTTGTAACTTTTTTCTCTTTGTGACAGATTCCCTGGAGTATGCACTGACCAAAGGTAAATTTCTGAGGTGGAATACCAAATGAAATTTTGATGTGGAGGAGTGTTTATAGAAGAGACAGTTACACTTGGAGCCAAGAATATTTTTGGCAGCTTCATAGAAGCGGATTTTCTTTGACTCTCTGATGCACTATATTGAGGCATTTTGGTGTGACAAATCTTATTTCCAGCTCCAATTTTGCCTGATTAATGGCTGCTTTTGTACTGAGAATGCACTTCGCTTTGCTCTGGGTTAGTGGCAAAGTGTCTGAACGCCTCCTGAACCATTCTGGAGCATTTCTATTCCAGGGACCTGGTAGGTATAATGAGCCCAAACATCTGGCCTCTCAGCTCACCATGTAAACCTCTCCGTTGCCATTTTGTCTTTGGAAATTATGTGCAGAATTGCAGCTGACTGACATCAGCCCACGATAATTATGGGGGGAAAAACTTGAAATCATTTGCATAAGGGCATTTTGGGTGCCTCCTTACATAAAGTATGAAAACTTGAGTAAACAAGAGTTGAACAAGTCTAGTGGCTTAATTAGATCCTGGCCAAATAATTGAAATTTGGTCATCATGATATAATTTGCATTAAAGTGCTTTTTAAATAAACAACAAATATATGCTCTGTTTCCAAAGTAATGAGAAAGTGTTTTCTGCACAGCACAGAAAGGACAAGAAAGAAAAGTGGGGGTTGGGGCAGGTGGAGGGGGAACCCCATCATACAGTTTGAACTTCTCAGTTGAACATGCACCTTTGTAGTAGTCAGTATGTTAGCAAAGTGTATAGTTGCTTTTGTGTCTTGCCATGGGCAAAAGTGTAGAGGAGTCAAGAACTGAGAAAAATGCAACTTCTGTGAAGGCTGTTGTGACTCCTGGAGCCCCAGTGCTGCAGTGGGTTAAACCCTTGTGCCGGCAGGACTGAAGACTGACAGGTCACAGATTCGAATCCTGGGAGAGTGTGGATGAGCTCCATCTGTCAGTTCCAGCTCCCCATGCGGGGACATGAGAGAAGCCTTCCACAAGGATGGTAAAACATCAAAATATCCGGGCATCTCCTGGGCAATGAATTGGCCATCTGCAATTCTCTCACACCAGAAGCAACTTGTAGTTTCTCAAGTAGCTCCTGACACACAGACACACACACAACACTGACTCCTTCATGCAATTTCTTTCCACTAAGCTCAAACCCCACCTCAAAAGACAACAAGTTAGGACAGTTGAAAACATCCAGGCAGCTGAAACAAGGGCTTTGAACATCTCAAGTGAAAACTTCCTCCGCTGCTATAAAGAGTGGCCGTGGTACTAGAATCGCTATATTCAATCACAAGGAGCCTGTTTTGAAAGGGACAAACTATAATTGGATGTATGTTCATTTTTAAAATTTAAATCGTCATCATTTTTTTCGGACAGACAATGTAAAACATTAACTATCACACTGCATGTAAAGTAGCTTGACTTTCAATTTGTCATTCTTCTCTCCATACAGCATGGTCTCCAAAACAAATGCCAAATAAAGGTAACTATCTATCTAGAAATAATGTAAGGGTGTGTTTGTAGTGTGTGTGTGGGGGGGGGGGAGGTGGGCATGTAACGTGAGATGGCAGGTCAGCATTTACAGAATCATAGAATCATAGAGTTGGAAGAGATTTCATAGGTCATCCAGTCCAACCCCCTGCCAAGAAGAAGGAAAATAGCATTCAAAGCACCCCTGACAGATGGCCATCCAGCCTCTGCTTAAAAAGCTCCAAAAAAGGAGTCTCCATCACACACCGGGGCAGAGAGTTCCACTGCTGAACAGCTCTCATAGTCAGGAAGTTCTTCCTAATATTCATATGGAATCTCCTTTCCTGTAGTCTGAAGCCATTGTTCCGTGTCCTAGTGCTTTTATGTCATGCCGCTTTGAGTCTCCTTTGAGAAATCTATATAAATGTTTTTATTTCTGTAAATCATAGAATCATAGAATCAAAGAGTTGGAAGAGACCTCATGGGCCATGGATGATGATGATAATAGAATCATAGAATCATAGAATCAAAGAGTTGGAAGAGACCTCATGGGCCATCCAGTCCAACCTCCTGCCAAGAAGCAGGAATATTGCATTCAAATCACCCCTGACAGATGGCCATCCAGCCTCTGTTTAAAAGCTTCCAAAGAAGGAGCCTCCACCACACTCTGGGGCAGAGAGTTCCACTGCTGAACGGCTCTCACAGTCAGGAAGTTCTTCCTCATGTTATAAATAGGATATAAATATAAATAGGATTTATAATGAGGAAGTTCTTCCTCAAATATAAATAGGATATTTGTAAGTAGATGATGATGAGTCCTTCCGGGGAGATAAGGTGGTCTACAAATGAATTATTATTATTATTATTATTATTATTATTATTATTATTATTATTGCTTGTATCAAGCAGTGTTGTTTCCTTTCTTTTCATTTCCTTCCTTTGCTTCTACATACCTTTGCTTCTTCTACATCTGTTTTAAAAAGTAATGGTATGTACTTTACAGACAATCCAAGTATGTTTCAAGTAAAACTTGGGACATTATCCCACAAGGTGCAAAAAACAGGTCTTGGTTTTGCAAACCTGTCTTGCTTTGAACTAGAGCACATTAGGATAACCACTCTTCTTATCTTTAAGAAGTCTAAAAGCACTTACAGGTCATCTCAAATGCTGGGATTTGTCTCAGGGCGAGGTATGAGGGAAATAAACTGTCAGTTGGAACTTTGTTGCATTCCCTAATGCATGCTTTTGAATTAAAGCCTTCCAACTTTGTTTTTGATCTAATTTCTTTGCCAAAAAGCTACAGATCTGAACAATTGGAATGTATTTTTTATTATTTTTAATATGTATTAATTTTATCCAATTTATTTTAAGTTAACATTGTATGTTTTAAGGCACTATGTTAGTGCTACATGTAAGCCGCCTTAAGTCACCTTGGGGTAGAGAAAGGATATAAATATGGTAAATAAATAAATATTCTAACAAATTCACAACTGTCCTTTAAAAAAGTAAAGATTATTTTTGGAATTACAAGAGTTTCCCCATTTGTGTGTTCTGCAATTAGGTGCTGTGCTTTGGATTGCCAAACCTTCTTTAGGCTCGAGGTTTGCATTAGCTAGCTTTTTTGCCAAATGGATTATAATAAAAGTAAAGATGCATTTGGTCATTACAAGCCTTTTCTGCTTTCCACTATTCAGCGGCTGATATTGATCTTTCCTTTGAAACCATCAACAATTCAGCCACTTTCTCTCTCTTTCCCCTGCAGTGGATGTCACTCTGGACCCAAACACAGCAAACACCTTCCTCATTCTGTCTGAGGATCTGAAGAATGTGATCTGTGGAGTTGAAGAACAGAACCTGCCCAACGTCCCTGAGCGATTTGATTGGGAGCCTTGTGTGTTGGGCAGTGACAGATTCACTTCAGGAAATCCATGGTGGGAGGTTGAGGTGAAGGAGGAAGGGGAAATGTGGGTCCTGGGTGTTGCCAAAGAGACCATCAGAAGAAAAAAATCTTTCATCCCTAGTCCTAGTGAGGATGTCTGGGCTATAGGAAAGCCTTCAGGGGGCTCCTTCTCATCTAATGAGCTCTGGGCTTTCACTTTCCCCAAGCCAATCCTTTTGAACCTAAGGCATAACCCCCAAAAAATCTTGGTATCCCTCAATTATGAGGAGGGATGCGTGGAATTTTTTGATGCAGATTCTGATGAACGGATCTTTACTTTCTCAGCTGCCTCATTCCGCGGGGAGACAATCCGTCCCTTTTTCTGGGTGACTCCAGGAGTCTGGCTAAAGTGTTGAGCCGTAAAAGAGATTCACCAGTGCTACAGCTTCCACCTTTCAAAGAGCTAGCACTTTCAGATCACATTCAAGCAGCAACAGAAATATCTTTTTTCCCCATTTTCTTTTAAAAATTAAAAATACAGAAAGAAAAAAATACTAAAAGTGTGAAAGTCAAAGAGAAAAGGGGAAAATATTTTTTCCAGTCTTTCGGCAGTTACATATATAATTAATAATATCTCTTTCTTTAAAAATGATTTCATGTTCTAATCTTTCAATAGACTATTCTCGCTAATAATCAAAATGAAAAATTACCAGTTTCTTTTCTCTCTTTTTTCACACCAAGTTAATATGGGATTTCAGATCTTTAGGAAACCTCAGATCTTAATAGAAACTGCTGGTTTTTGAATGTATCAAACAAAGGAATATCCAAAAGCTCATCTGACCAGATTATGTAGATGCCTCTGTCCACAATAAGAGTTGTTGCCCTAGACATCTCCCCATGCGAGGGGACAAAAGGAGAGTCCAAGATGATGGGGGTAATAATCACAGTTTTATCCCGGACCTTTGTCCCACAGGCAGCCTAAGACCTCCAAAAGGAAATTGTGGGGCCCTGAGTAGATGGTCTCCTGCTGGGATCCAAGAAGGTCCTTTGTCCAAGGATTATGACCCATCTCTGGCTGGCATCTGGGGTGTGGATATTGAATGTTTGCCATTTATGTGTGTATTGTAATGCGCCCTGAGTTCCCTGCAAGGTGAGAAGGGTGAAATATAAATACTGTAAATAAATAATAAATAAATTTAGTCAGTGGAGGCTTGGAAGGTTACTATTTCCAACAAACCTCACAACCTGAGGATGCCTTCCATAGATGTGGGCGAAACATCAGGAGAGAATGTTTCTGGAACACAGCCATACAGCCAGGAAAACTCAAGCAACCCATGTACATGATAAAAAGCAAATCAAGAGTGAAGCTTTCATAACTTGTGAATATAATGCTACAAAGCCACAAACTTCAGAAATATCTTCTGTCTTCAGGATATGTATCATGGCTTTTGCCATCTAAGGATGGGAGGTAGATACAAATCAAAACAGAAATAAGGTTGTTTATTATTTAGACAGGTACAGAAAAAAACATTGTTACAAATACTCCATTCATTCGTAAGGAGAACTGGATTTCCACAGAATCTCCACGTCAAAGCCCTCCCTGTCGACTTTCCTGATGAACTCATCATAGTCTGTTTGACTGATACCTGGGCATCTGAGCAGAGAGAGGTAGCTCAGTTCATTCTCAGAGGACAAAATCAGGTTCACCACCTGCACGGAAACCTTGATTTGAGATAACACCAGCTCATCAATGTGCCTCAAAGCCGTGCTTGGAGGTTTCAGCACCCTCTCAAACACCCTGTCCAGAGAGAAAGGCAAGTGGCGCAGTGTCAGGAATTTCAGATTAGGAGACTCTTTCAGCACATTTACAAGGCTTTGTCTCAACACCATGGCATGACGGAAAGGCAAGGGAATCTCTGCATCAGGGTACTCCAGGGTAAACAGACAAAGCTGAGGAAATTCAAAGCTGGGCAGGCTGAAATCCCAGTCCAAGGTGTCAATGTCTTCCTGTCGGTCACAGACAGATGTCCTGGGAGGGAGGAATGAACCTTCAAATTCTTGAAGGTTTGTGCAATAGCTCAGTAGAATATGGAAAGAGGACTCAATGGCCAAGAAGAAGTGACGGATCGTGAGGCCATGAAGCTGAGCCCCAAGGCTTGCCATCATTGGCAAAAGTTCACTCAGGTCTCTGTGTTTGTCACAGATGATGGTCAAGTGAGTGAGGTGGCGCCATGAGAGGAAGCTGTCAGCCAAGAGAGGTCTATCTTCTAGAAAGACAGTTGCTTTTTCCATATAGGGGCACATGGTATTGATTAAAGACAAGACGGATTCCCGTACAACAATTATTTCCCTGAGATTCAAAGTAAGTCTGGAGGTGTCCTTTTCTCCACGGGCTTTCATCCTGTGTTGGAACAACTCTTCCAGAGAGGGAAATCCAGGAGGCAACTGGGAACTGTCAAAGCGCTGCTTGTAGATCAGACGCAACACCCTTGAGATGGAATTGTCCACCAAAGACATGAGGCTGGGCAATGCCAGCAGCACAAAGAGCAGGGCCCCTAAGTGGCCTTTGGGAGCCTTTAGCCCAAAAATGCAGAGTTTCTGTAATGACTGGCAGCCAAAAGAGCCCCGGCGGGGGTCATATGCCAAGTAGAAGAGAGATGTCAAAGACAGGGTCCTGCACAGGGAGATGTTCAGTTCACGGAGCTGTCGGCAAGAAGAGCCTATGGCAGCCAACACTTGTGTGTCACACAGGGTCTTCGAAAGGTCTAGTCTGATGAGCCGTGGCAAACTTTCCACCAGGCGAGCCAGAGCATCTGCAGGGAGTTGCTTGCAGCCATGGAGATTTAGTGACAACAGATTCTGTTTCGGACACCAGAAAGAGTACAAGTGAGCAAAAGTAAAATCTATTTTGAGCTGTATGCCATTCACACGTGAGTCCTAATGATAATAATAATTATTATTATTATTATTATTATTATTATTATTATTATTATTTATATTCCACCCTATCCTTCCAAAGGGACTCAGGATGGTTTCCAGTCACAAAAAGGCAAGCATGCAATGCCTGAACACAACTATTAAACACTTAATAACAAAAATTAAACTACACCGTATATACAAACAAATTATAATTTAGCAAATTGGGATTAGATTTAAACACAACCTATTATATCAGACATAAAACAAACATGCTAATTTCCCAGAGTCCTAACCCCACCCATGTGGCCATGCAAAGGGCATAAATAGACCCATAACATTCCTTATAGTTTTCACAAAGTACTTGCCCTGAGGGTATTTCTGTCCCCGTAATGGTGCATTTTGCGGTTTAGTAAAAGGTAAGTAGTCCCCGGTGGCACAGCAGGTTAAACCGCTAAGCAGCTGAACTTGATGAGAGGTTGGTGGTTCAAATCTGGGGAGCGGGGTGAGCTCCCGCTGTGAACCCTAGCTTCTGCCAACCTAGCAGTTTGAAAACATGAGTAGATCAATAGGAACCGCTTTGTAGGGAAGGTAACTACACACCATGCAGTCATGCTGGCTACATGACCTTGGAGGTGTCTATGGGCAACGCCGGCTCTTCAGCTTAGAAATGGAGATGAGCACCATCCCCCAGAGTCAGCCACGACTAGACTTACTGTCAAGGGGAAACCTTTACCTTTACTGAAAGGTAAGGATTTGAAGCAGCCATTCATAGCCCCAAGTTTCTCTCCTCAGCTCCATAATAAAACACTCTCTTTTTAATAAGATTAGCCTTTATGAATTAAGACATTCAGTGCATCCAGGTGAAAACAACACTTGTGACATATGTTCAGATCACATGTAATCATCTTTTAAGGAGGCATAGGGCTATTCACTTTTCAGCAAGAAAAGTAAGACTATGCTCCTTTAGCTATAGGAAGCACCCTTCCAAACCTGTCAACCAAATGAAACCATGTTTTCTGTATGTCATTCTCAATCCTTGATCTGCTTAAAGATGCTCAACAGTGAATCATGAGGTCTCTCCCTTTATTCTACATTCCCATCTAACTGTATTATGAGACATATATGCTTTACTATGGGAAATACTCTCTCACCAAGTACTGAGCCTCATCCCTCAAAAACATCTAGCCACTACCACATCTTGTGGAAGCAGACTGCTTTGTTCTGCTTCATTTGAAAAAAGGTCTTCCTCTTATCCATCCTAAATCTTTCACCAGTCTGTTTCAGTGGATGATCTTAGATTATAATACAAGCTAAATATCCTTTATCTGAAATGCTTCCAAACAGAAGTATCTGGCTCCCACCCCTAGATTTTGGAATGACTTCAGTAAAGGTAAAGGTAGTCCCCTGACATTAAGTCCAGTCATGTCAGACTCTGGGGTGTGGTGCTCATCTCCATTTCTAAGCCGAAGAGCCGGCATTGTCCATAGACACCTCCAAGGTCATGTGGCCGGCATGACTGCATGGAGTGCAGTTTCCTTCCTGCTGGAGCGGTACCTATTGATCTACTCACATTTGCATGCTTTCGAACTGCTAGGTTGGCAGAAGCTAGGGCTGACAGCGGAAGCTCACGCTGCTCCCCGGAATCGAACCTGAGACCTTTCGGTCAACAAGATCAGCAGTTCAGCGCCACCAGGGGCTCCATAGGAATGACTTTATTCATGCATAAATACATAATGTGATTATCTTGGAGATGGAACCCAAATTTAAATATGAAATTCATTAATGTTTCATATCCAGTACAACTTATATGCATACCCTGCAGGTAATTTTATACGTAATGCAGTGGAAATTCTACTTATGAGTTAAATTTATTATGTGATGAAACTCTTAACTCAAATTGCTCTTATTTCAAATTGGTTTTTCCCACTGAAATGCTTTTAATCCATTCCAGGGCCCCCCAAAACCTGACAAATTTTTGGGTGGCTGGCTCTTGTGCCCTGTCTTCACTGCCCTGCCTGTGTAATCCCCAGCCATCACCAATAACAGCAGCAGCAATGCTGCCACCTCAACTACCGTCCTGCCCCCATGGCCTCTCCCAACTGCAACTTCTACCTGGGCTGCCTGGGCAAGAACACCTCCCTCCTTCCTTCTCTCTGTGCCCTCTTTCCCTGAAGTATGCTTTTCAAGTTTGGGCAGGGAGGGCTGCGCACGCACACTGGCTGGCTGGCTGGCTCTCGTGCCCTGTCTTCACTGCCCCCAGTGCTGCCCTCAACCCTGCCCCCATAGCGTCCTCCAGCCTTCCTTTCTTTGATGAATCACAAGGCAGGAATCAAGGTGAGTGTGCTTTTGCACCTGCCTCGGCATCAGAGTCGCTTCACTTTCTGCCCGACTTTCCCATCCATCCAAAGCTGCCAGAACTGCATACTTGACCCAACCAGGGACCTCAGTGCTCCCCCTGACATGAGTGCACAAGCATGAGGCAGGGGGGCACATGAGGCTCAGAGGCTGCTCCCTTGAAGCCCTGCCTGTGCTCTTGTGAGAACCCTCCCTCTGCCGTGAGTGCACTCTCCAGCTGCTTGTATTTTCGAGCGATGCTCATAAGTTAAAGTGAAACCCCAACCAAGCAATGGCTCACAACATATATAGGGATGCTTGTAGAAGTTCCACTGTATTCCAAATTTTGTGCATGAAACAAAATTTGTATGCATTGAACCAAGTGAAAGATATCACCATTCACAGTCACCATGTGGATGAATATGGAGTATTTCAGAATTCCAGGAAAGGGATGCTTCAACGTGTATTAGCTTCTCCTTGTCTACTTGTTCCACTCCATGCACCATGTTATTATTTCCAAGAAATCCCTGTCCACTTTGATCGTTTCTCCCCTCTGCTTACCCTGCATTGCACCCTCATTGTCAAGGCGATACTCCTTGTGACCATATTTTGGCAAGTGGTCAGATTGATGTCTCTCAGTTGGGGCACGAGGAGCAAATGCAGCATTGGAGGGATGAAATCCTTGTTCTGTCCCAGTAAACAGATCAGATCCTGGACATGGAAGAAAGCTGTGGAAGGAAACAAATACCTTACTTATTAACATCATTTTTGCTACTGTTCGCCACATTCAAGTCATCTTCTACTTAAGCCAACCCAATGAGTGAGAGATCTCCAAGTTACTCTGCTATCGACCTGTTCAGGTCTCGCAGGCTCAAGATCATGGAATTCTTGGTTGTATTTAAGCATCTGTAATGTGGTCTTCCTTCTATCCTACTACCTTCCACTTTCCCAAGCATTATTTTTGCTACTGAGAAATATTATTTAATGACATGTCCAAGGTACAATGGTCTCAGCTTAGTCATGCTGGCTTTACTAATGATAATTCAGGTTTGATTTGCTCTAAGTGTCATTTAATTTTAACATTTCATGGGATCCACAGAACTATCCTCCAGTACAACATTTCAAATG